GAACCTTAGGTTGATTTTATATCAACTTCATACAAACTGTCAGTAACAGGACAAGATACAGACTTAGAGGAAATTACAATGACAAAGCCAATGTTGAGCCAAGGGCTATACAGTTTCTAGGAAGAATGAGTGTCATGCAAGATCATGAGCTGGCCAGGCCTTGTCCCACCATTTATCAACAGTGACAGATGTCACATGGTGCAATGTTCTGGGAACATAAGTGTACACAACAGCCTTGCCTGTCCCAGGGCCACATTTGTGTCCAGATGCCCCTCCAAGCAAGAACTCTTCATGTCACACACTTCCAAAAAGCATATTCAATTAAAGTCTACCTTCCTCACTCCCTGCTGCCCAGGGGAAAAAGAACCTTAAATAATGAGAGAATCAACTTGTCCTGATACCAGCTTGGACTCTGTGTTAGGCACTCTACTATACCATCTCATTTACTTCTCACGATAGCCCTATGCAGAAGTCATCAGTATGCCCATTTTACAGGTGAGGAAACAGAGGCTCAAAGCTAGGCTCAGAGTGTGTGTAGACAGGATTTGAACACTTGTTTGTCCGGTTCTCAAAGTGGTTGTCCTCAGTGCCATGCCATGCTGCCTTGTGCTCTCGTAACGCTTGTTGAGCTGACTTCCCAGTGGTGACCATCCCAAGGGAAATTCCTGTTGACTCAAAGGTATTGTGTAAGGATGAGACACTGCTTATACACACTGACTAATCAGTCACTCCTCTGGGAGGTGCTCTAAAGTAGAGCCTGAGCCACCTGGGTGGGGAGAGTAGGTAGAGATACAGATGGAGAATTTGCTTCAAGAGGGAAAAGGCCATTGGCACCAGAGCACCCTGGCTGGTGGAGGCAAATGTAGGTGTGCAGAAGGCAAGTTATTCATTTGAGATACTTTTTTAGAAGGGCCCTAATGGAAGAAGAGGCCATCATGGACTATGGAAGGTCAGAGACAGAAGCAAGAAGAAGCTTTGCTATGACCTGCCTTCTGGAGAAAAAGATAAGATCAGATGGCGGTGGGCCCACCTGGGCCCACCTGTGGGAGAGTGGTGGGAGGGCAGCAGAGCTCCCTTGTGTAGCCTGAAGCCCCTGGAGCTCTGAGGATTCTGGGAGCTTGGTCCTGGCCTTACTTGGCACTTCTTAGACTTAGGAAGCACAAGTGAGAAGGGAAAGAGGAGACTCAGGGTCCAGGCCCTCATGCTAGCCAGGTGGAGGCTAGAATGCAAAGGGGCAGTGTGTGAGTGCCAATCAGAAAGGACAGCAGGCCGAGAGGAGGGGCCTGGGGGAAGGTGGTGGAGGAGGACTGGCTGCAGGTGCATCTCTGAACCAGCTCTGAGATTCATTGATCAGTCTGCAGGACCACACGGCTCCTCTCATCACACGGTGAAAACTTCAACAACTCTTATCCTACAGTCCAGGCCTGGAGAACTGAGTACCTTCCCTCCTCCAGACCTGCCCAGAAGTGGGAGCAGGAGGAAGTGGGGGGCTGGCACGGTGGGTGGGCTCCAGAATAAATGCAGGCATTGGAGGTTTCACCAGGATTTGCAAAGTGGCACCTGCCAGATCTGAAACACTATTTCTGAATAATCATTTGCAGAGTCAGATTGGATTCAAAGAGCCTCAAGGGAAAAAGAGTAAACATGTCTGAAACAGTTTCCTGTACATGTGGCCTCTTTCCTCTTCAGTTTTTCAAGTAACCCTTTCCCAGACCTTCTGATTCCCACCTCAGCTGGAGCTTGCTCATGCTCTTACGGTGCTGCTATTGCACCATGTATTCGTCAGGGTTCTCCAGGGAAACAAAGCCAATGGGATGTGTACGAATGGATGGACAGATAGATAGATCAGTCGGTCGATTGATCGATAGATAGATACATAGACACAGATTTATTTTAAAGAATTAGTTCACATAATAGTGGGATCTGGCAATTCTAACTTTTGTAGGGCAAACTGGTAGGCTGGAAATCCAGGGAAGAGTTGATTTTGCAACTCAAGTCCAAAGGCAACCTGGAGACAGAAATCTTTCTTCATCAGGGGAGGTCAGTCCTTTTCTCTCAAAGTCTTCAATTGTTTGGATGAGGCCCACTCACATTATGAAAGGTCACCTTCTTTACTCAAGTCTACTGATGTACATGTTAATTGCATCTTAAAAATACCCTCACGGTGACATCTAGATGGGTGTTTGACCAAATATATGGTTACTGTGGCCCAGCCCAGTTGACACATAAAATTAACCATCACACATCGTGTCATAATTTAATGTTCTTTATGCTTGCTTTCTAAACAAGATTTCTGCTCTTAAAAAGCCCCAAGTCTTGTTAGGAAGTCAGTGGCTAAGGCAGTACATGGCCCTGCTCAGTGGCCCAGGGAATGTCTGTTAAATTATCAAGTGACCCAATTCACTTGATGATATAAATGACCAACACTTTTAAATGTGCATATTGTGGTCCTCAGACATGAGATTCTGAAAAGGCAGGAAGCTCTCTGCTACCCCAGGGTGCCTACAGCCAAATCCGTGTTGTGTGGAGAAGAAAAATTGAAGTTGAGAACTCAGTGTCAACTCAGTAACATTCTGCTCAATGAATGAATCCCAAACACATTATGTTCAGAAAGGCTTCTGTGAGAAGGTCCATCACAAACAATATGAGGAAAAGAAAAGCAGAAATCATCAGAAAATACTCCCCATGGAAGAGGTGATTTTTCCCAGGAATAGAGTTGGCCGTTGAACATACTGATCCATATAACCATCCACCCCATCGGACAATGAGTTCCTGATCAGTCGGGACCCCATCTTACTCACCTTTGCTTCCCAAGCAGCCAGCACAAAGATGGTTAGTTTACTGGACATCCCCAAGGGCACTTTTGTGTCCCGTGCAAGCTATTCTCCCGCCCTTCTCTACTAAAAGACAGACCTCCCAACTACAGGCTGAAAATTGAAGAGACTTATTTTCCCAGCATCCTCAGTAGCTAAGGCAGTCATGTTACTAATTATAGCCAATGAAATGGAAAGAGACATCAGCTGGGCAGATTCTGGAAGGGATGTTCTTCTCTGACAAAGTCACAAAAGTGAGTAGCAGTTGTGTGAAGAACTTGGCAACCCCTTAACACCATTAGGCCAGAAGCCTGAGGAGAAAGATCTCATCCCACTGAGCAGGGTGGAGGGGGTGGGTGGAAAGAGACCAGAACTGTGATGACACCAGAGAGCTGATATGCTACTGCAGTGTCCCCCCACCCATGGACTACTTGATTTGGTGACACCTTCAACATATATCCTGACTCTGACTCTCACCACTCCCAGCACTGCCACCCTGATCCAAGCCACAGCCCCTCTCCTCACCGGCCTCCCTGCTTCTGCCTGGGCCCCTCCCAGGATGCTCCCAACATGGCAGCCTAAGTGACCTCCAGACTTCTCTCCAAACACATCATGCTACTTCTCCACTCAGAACTCCCCAGGCCTTCCTCCCCTTCTCATTCTGAGGAATGGCCAAAGTTGCTACCACAGCTGACGAAGTCCTCCGTGGTCTGGTCCTTGCAGACTTTGCTGACCCTGTCTTCCCCAACCTCCACTGCCCGCAGGCTCCTCAAAAACGCTGAGCACACTCCCTTCCATGGTGTTTGCACTTGTGATTCCCTTTGCCTGGGACTGTCTCTCTTCCTCCTTCACTGCCTTTGGGTCTCTGCTCATCTTATCTCACATCACCTAATCATTGAGAGCGCTGTCCAGTACAACCGTCCATGGTGATGGAAATGTTCTATAATAATCTGAGCTGTCTAAGGTGATGGCACTGGCCACACATGGCTACTGAGCACTCCTGGTGTGGCTAGTACAACTGAGGAACTGAATTGTTGCCATTTCATTTGATGTTAACTAATTTAAATTTAAATATCCACATGTGGTTGGTGGCTACTCTATTGAGAACTCAGCTCTATAAAACAGCAACGTCAGCCAGTCTCTACAGAACCCCATTTCCCCCTTATCTTATTGTATTTTTAGTACACTTATCCTCATCTAATATTCCATAAACGTGCACACTTGTTTGTCATCTCTCTCATTTCTAAGTGGAAGCCCCACGAGAAAAGGCACTCGGGTCTGCTTTGGTTACTACTGATCAAGACAGTCTAAAATAGTGCCTGCTACAGAGTTTGCTTTCAATTAGCATTCAGAGATTGGATTAATCAAAGAAGGGAGGTTGTTTGAGGTGATCCCACTTCTTAGGTCAAATGTCTCAGTTTAACTCCGTGAGTTTTTCAGTGGTCTAATCAAAAGTGTGGGTTGCTGGAATAGCAGGTCCATGGTCAGCCTTTGGTTCAAACCCAGCTTGGGCACCTCCTGCATGGGCAAACTGCTCCATCTTTCTGAGCTACTGAGACTGAGTTTTCCATCTAAGTTTTTCCATCTGTAAAGTGTAAATAATAACAGCTCTGTAAAAACATTAGAGGAGATCTGGAAGTTAATAGGTACTTAAAACAATTCTTGCCAAAGGAAATTTCTAAGTTAGAACATATTGGGGCTTAGTTGGGGGGACCTTTTTGTTTTCTAAAAACCCCTGCCTTCTTCTCATAGTTTTCTAGAGCCTTTTACCAAAAACAGTCAGGGATCACAAATATGAACCTTCCAAAACAACAAATGCCTCTGTTGCTGGAAAGAGCCACTTTTGTGATAAGTGTGTGGGTTGTTTTGCCACTTTCTTCATTTAGATTTTCAAGGAAGAAACAGCATTAGCAAGCTTGAAATAATTACCATTGTAATTTACCTAAACCAGGGCTTCTCTGGTAATTTAATTTTCAGGATAAAATTACACCAGATCCAAAGGAAACTATTCAGACTTCCTTTCATGTTCCAAATTTGTCAAATTGAAATCTTTCTGTCAAGCAGGAAATTCCCAGTGCCCAGCAACCGACACAAAAACAGACACACAAATATACACATCTACTTAAGCCCAGTGGTCTCAACTTTTATATTTTGTTCATGAATATTTTAAAAGTTTATCATTCTTACCTTTCCAAAACTCCCTTTCCCAATGGCCCGCAGAATCTGGAAATGGTCAAAGTTGACTGCAAAAGAAAAAAAAGCAAACGAGTCAAATTTGCCAACCTTGTACTGCTTCTCGAATACCCTTACCTGTGCACCTGCCCACGTGTCCCATCTCGAACACCCTTACCTGTGCACCTGCCCACGTGTTCCAGCCCCTGGTTTCCACCGCACTGCATTTGCCATCGTAGCCCTCCACCCCGAGTGGAGCGCGAGGCCCTGTCAGCACCGTCCGTCCTCTCCAGCACCAACACTGCTCTGTAGCGTGCCTTCCCTCCACACCGCACTTCCTGGCCGGGCTCTCTGATCCTGCTGTTCCTACCTCCTCCCTCTCCACCCCACTCTGTCTGGCTTCCACGCCCCTCCCTACACCAAAACAGGTCACCAATGTTCCGCCATGCCACTAACCCCAGTGGACACCTTCCTGTCCTCCTTCTGCTTGACGACTCCCTCCTTTTTGAAATACTCACTGGGCGTCCATGGCGGTTGCCCTCTTGATTCTGCCCCCACCCTCAGCTCCCTGTGCACACTCAGCCTTGTCCTCCCAGGAGTCAAGTCTGTCCAGCCCTGTCCCACAACCGCTCTCTTCCTGTGGGTCCAGTGGCATTGGTTACCATCTAACTGCCCACGAATCTCCAAGGCATCTCCAGCCTCGAGGCTGGATACACAAAGGCCCACCCCACAGCTCCTCTTGGAGGTTTCAAAGCCACCTTGAACTTGACAGATCCAAAGCAGAGCCTGAGATGAGTGGTATCGACGTTCATCGATTGCTCATGCTCGAGCCTGGGACTCCTCCCGACCTCCTTTCTCTCTCAACCCCACATCCAGTCCTTCATCACATTAGGCCCACTTTGCCTCTTCGTCTCCCTCGCCTCACTCCTGTGGCCACCCCTCTGCTCTAATCCACCATCTTCTGTCACCTGGACCACTACAGTGGCCTCCCAATGTCCTCTCAGGCTGGGATACGTGTGACTAGAAGGGTGGCCTTGCACGTCCTCTGCTTACTCCCCTCCAGTGCCCCCTCCACTGCTCTCAGTGGCAAGTGCGAACCCCTTCCCGGGGTGCAAGGCCCCCCGCCACTCATCCAGCCTCCCCTCCCCCATCCCACCCCTGAGCACCAAAAGAACAGCTGCTCCCAGGCCTTTGGGGCTCTCCTCCAGGCCCTGCCCTGTCCTCTGTGTCACCCAATGCGAGAAGGTTGCCCTTGCCCTCCAGACTGAGTCCTGCTCCCTATGACAGCTCTCATAGCCCTGTGGACTGTTCTCTAACATACGTCGTTCTGCATAATTTTACATGCATTTGTATATTTCATTAAGTTCACTTTTCCTTACCAGACACTAAGCTCCCTGAGGTCAAGGGCCATATTTATTTTTTGCTATTGCACCCTTTGCACTGAGCACAGTGTTTGATACACAATTAGTACCCAATGAATACTCATTAGCTGAAGGAATGAGTGAATGAACCCATCTCCATATTGTGCCAAACACAACTCCTGGTACATAACAGTGCTCAGTAAATATTTTTGAATTAGATTGAATTACAGCCAGTTTCCAATAACTAGGAGAGACATGTTATTTATGAGAGATGAAGTGAATAGATTAGTTTACCACATAATGGAGGCAAGGATGTGGGGAAGCAAATGCATACAATTGGTTCCTTGTATATTAAACTTATGCAATGAAGGATAATTATGTTGAGTTGTGTCCCTGCCAAGCCAAAGTCAGAATCCAGCATGCTATCGAGTGCTAACGTGCTTGGAATAGAGAGATGGGGTTAATGGTTAACTTAGCAAAATCTTGTTTCTTTGACGTAGATTTGTTTCCTCTCAGAATAAGTTTCCAGGAAAAGAAATTCCATATTTTCACCTCTCACCCACTCACCAAAGGTCAAAGGAGAGGAAAAAGCAATGAACCCGCAGTACAGATTGTTGTGTTGCCAGTAGTGGGCTAGGAATTGCGTGTGTCTATCAGTAAGACCCCAGGGTCCCCTGAGGCAGGTAGCACTGCCAGGCACTCGCCACCTGCCCTGGAGTCAGGGGTCACTGCTTCCCTGCTGCATGATGCCCTGGCCTGGGCTGCTGTTTCCTGTGCCTGGAAGGCGGTTCCTCCAACACTCCTTATCATGGAGAAAACTCATTGGCCTTTGATGCGCAGCTCCAGGGCTCGCTCTCCTGTGAAGCTTTTCCACCCCACCTCCCAATCCCCGCTCTGTCCTTTCTCCTTGGCGCCATCTCTGAACCTTCCGCAGGTGCCTAACAGTTTAGGAGAACGTGCCCTGGAGCCAGACTGCTTAGGGCCACAATCCAGCTCTATCACAGTCTCAGTGTCCTTGGACACATCTCTCAGCCTCTGTGTGCCTCAGTTACCCCATCTATAATAGCGGGGAAGTGGTGCCCACCTTCCCAAAAGAGCTCAGAACAGTGCCTGGCACACTGCAACCTCTCAAAAAGTGCCAGCTATTGGTATTAGGGGTAAGGGGCAACCATCTCCCTCTATTCTGGCTTCTTCTAGGAGGAATATTGCCAAAAACACCTGTGGCCTCTTGCCACATCCAAGGTGGTGTGGGCTGTCCCAGAAGTGTGCTGGAAAAGGACTGGCACAGGAGGCTGGTCCTGCCCTCTCTCTGAGGTCTGTCAGTCTTCAGGGAGGAGGCCTTTCCTCTGCCCCTTTTGGCCAGAAGCTTTTCGGGACCAGCCGCCATGTGGAAGGTATGTGGGGTCCAGACTTGTCTTTGACCAGGGGGGTAAGTCTAGCTAATCCTGGGCTTCAGCACGAGGGAGCCAGGGCACTTCCCTCCTGCGCCCATCTTTAGGACTCGAGAGGTAGGACTTGGTCCTCCACCTACCGCCTCCTCTGACTTTTCTCCTAAGCAGAAGGGTGTGATAATTATGGAGCAAACCCTCAAATACCAGAAACCATTGTTATTTTAATGATTAGCGTTATAATGTTGTAAACATTCCCACTCACCCATATCATCCCTATTCCCTGCAAAAATGTGGGTTCCCTGGGGGAGACTAATATAACTTATGGGGCAAAAGGTACTTAATGAATGCTTATTTGCTTATTGGACTAGATTGGATTTAAATGACTTTGAACGTGTGGCTTGTGTTTCTTATTTATTTGGCATCTCCTTGGGCCATGGTGCACTGATACTTACATAATAGTGCCTAAAAGAATACCTGTTAAATAAAGTTAACAGGTGGTTGATAGATCGATTGAAATGGCTTCAGTTAATGAGAATGCCAGGCCAAAGATAGGTCCTAGAATCACACTGTCACATGGGGTTGTTTGCCCACAGCAAGAGGAGCTGGCTGGGGGGTGTGGGAGGATCCAAGAGTGGTTTCTTAGGGTGACCAGCTAGTCCTGGTTTGCCTGGGACCTACCTGGTTTTAGCACAAAAAGTCCTATGTCCCTGAAAACCTCCCCAGTCTGGCGAAAACTAGGACAGTTGGTCACGCTTGGTTTCTAGATCGTGAACCTGTTCTACCTGAAGAAGACACAGCACTGCCAGAGCTGGCAGGGTGATTGGGTGGGTGGTGAGGTACATTCTTGAGAAGCGGTGTCTTTTTGGACCACCAGACACTTAAGAGTTGTGAAGGTGACACCAAAGGCAAAGCCGAGGAGTGACTGACAGTGGCCTCACCGAAAAGCACAAGAACAGTAACGTCTGCCTTAAGAGCTGTCATAAAGACAGTGGCATGACACAAGGCGGGGGCATTATTTTCTCGCCAAATAACTGTGTTGCTTGCTCAGCCAGGCTCAACTCTCCCTTCTTGCTTGATAACAAAACTCCAGCTCTGTTAGGGGTCAGTGTGGCCAGCCCCAGGCAATGAATCACAATTTTCCCATCCTTAGTAGAATCATAATTGATCAAAGCCAAACATTTCTCAAATCACCTGGAGCCTTGATAAGACAGATGGGTGGGCCCCACCTCCTGAGTTTCATCACAAGTTCCCAGGTGATGCTAATGGTTCAGGGACTATACTTTGAGTATCACTGAACTACTTAGTCTGCACGATTGTGTTCCCCACTTTCCCAACCTCTTCTGCAGCCAGCAGGGACCTTGTGGCCCAGGCCCAGTCAATGAGATCCAAGTAGAGGACTGATAGGGTATTTCTGAGGAAAGCAGTTTTTCCTGATGAAAAGGGACAGATAAAGCTGGAGTGGCCCTTCAACCCTCCCACTTCTTCTTGCCTGGAATGTGAACATGCTATCTGGAGCTGCAGCAGCTATCTTGTGACTATGAAGCAACAAACACAATCCAAAAGTCAAGACAGATGCAGAGACACCACTCCCTGTTGTGAGCCTCTGAAACCATGCCAGCAACCACCTACCTTGGGACTAACTATGTTAGGAAAAAGAACAAAACAATCTTATTTGTTCAGTGGGTCAGGTTTGTTATTACTAGAAACCAAAAACTTTCTTTTCTGATATGCAAAGCCAGTCAGGCGCATTGCAGGGGCTTAGTAAATGCTGTCTATTTTATTGCTGGATTTCTAGCCCCATTGTGATTTTACTGAAAAGCAAAAGAACAAGAGTTGTTTGGGGCAACTACATAGGGGCCCAGCTGCCTGGATCTGAATTCTGTCTCCACCACTCAGCAGCAGCTTGGTGACTTTGGGGAAGTCGCCTAACCTCTCTGTGCCGCAGCCTCCTCTCCTATGTGCCAGGTATAATAACATACCTACCTCACAGGGTTGTTGTAAATGTTAGGGTGTGAGCTAGTGCATGTGGGTTTTGAGAAAAATTTCTCCAGACAAACATTAGGATAGATAGAAGAAAAAGTTTTATTTTACTTTTCCAGATGAAAAAGGGCCAACATGGAAGTGAAAAGGGGGGAGATAATGTTGGCAGAGAGAACCAGGTACTCAGGCTTTTTATTTAGGGTTATAAAGGGAGTGAAGAAGGTTTACGGCTGTAGCCAAAATAACAGGGTACTGTGAACTGCTGTATCTGCTTCTTTTTCTTTTCTTGGTGGCAGACAGTTAACAGAAGCAGCTGCCTTTCCTTTGGAGATGGACTTA